TTTGCTGATGACACCAAGCTGTGGGGTGTAGTCAGCACACTCGAGGGATGGGATGCCATCCAGAGAGACCTAGACAAGCTGAAGCAGTAGGCTGAGGAGAACCTCATGAGGTTTAACAATACCAAGTGCAGGGTCTTGCATCTGGGTCACTGCAGCCCACACTATCAGTACAAGCCAGGAGATGAAGTGATTGAGCACAGCTCTGCTGAAAAGGACTTGGAGGTTCTGGTGGATGGCAAGCTGAACACGAGCCAGCAATGTGCCCTCTCAGCCCAGGAAGCCAACCGTACCCTGGGCTGCATCAAAAGATGTGCGACCAGCAGGTTGAGGGAGGTGATCCTGCCCCTCTGAGGCCTCACCCTGGAACACTGGGTCTGGATGTGGAATACTCACTACAGGAGATACACAGACCTGGTGGAGCGCATCCAAAGGAAGGCTGCAGAAATGATCCAAGGGATGGAACACTGCCCCTGTGAGAACAGGCTGTGAGAGCTGGGGGTGTTCAGCCTGGAGAAGGCTTTGGGAAGACCTAAGAGCAGCCTTTCAGTATCTAAAGGGCGAGTATAAGAAAGAAGGGGATAGATTCTTAAGCAGGATTTGTGGTGGTAACACAAGGGGACATAATTTCAAACTAGAGGAGTAAGATTTAGATTTGATAAAAGGAAGAAGTTTTTTACAGTAAGGGTAGGGAGGGAGTGGAACAGGTTGCCCAGAGATATGGTGGATTGGACAAATCAAGGTCAGGCTGGACCAGGCTCTGGGCAACCTAATCTGGCTGTGGATGTCCCTTTTCATTGCAGGGGAGTTGGACTAGATGATTTTTAAAGATCCTTTCCAACTTAATTCAATTTTTCTTCTTCATGGCCATCCCTCCAACTTTCATAGTGCTACCTGTTCAATTTTGCCATATCACATACACAGTTTCCTTTTATCCTTTAACATCCAAACCAATGATTTAGGCAGCTGGATTGCTGTGTGCAAGTGGGAGAAGAGCAAGGTAATAGAACGTGTCAGGATACTCAAAAAAGTAGTATGTAGGAATGACTGAGATCTGTCTTTTCTCTCTGGCAGAGATATTACCAGAAAATGGCTTTGAATAGAATCATAAAATTTTGCAGTGAGAAAGATATAGTGCTTTTGGCACATCATTACCTAGAAATGTAATACTGAAATTACACTTTCATCTCATTCTTAAGTTAAAATGTAGAACTGTTATAAAAATAAATGCATCCATGTTGCACGTACTATAATTTGATCTAAGTACTTTACAGGCCTTAACCTTCTAGATGTATATCTCATGAGAACCACTTTTTGGAAGTAGGCAAATAGACATTGACCTTATTTTAGTAAATGACAGAATGATAGCCTGAAAAACAATAACATCTTAATGTGAAAAACAACTTTTTCCTCAAAATGCTTAGAGAACAAATTATTTGAAAGAGATAACGTTACATATTATGAGTATCAGGCAGGAAAAAAAAGATTTCTAGAACTATTTTCACTAAAGTTGACAGTAGTCCAGCAGGAGCAAAACTTGATTGGTGAAGTTAGATCAGCACAAAGCCTTCTGTTTGGGTGTATCAATTTTTACTAGTGGAGTGGTATTACATTTGAATCAGCCGCTCTTCCTTGATTGCATCCAGACTTTATAACGCATCCCAGAACACAACGGTGCTTGGTGAGCAAAACCTTAGTGAAGATGAGCTTAAACCAATCAGGGTACAATTGCAAGTACAGGAGTTAAAATTCCTTTGATTGCTGTCTGCCATTTATTTGATGGAGCAAATGCAATGGAGCCAGATCTCAGATTTCATCTGTAGGCAGCAAGCTGTAAACCTGTTCTGCAAGAGACCTCAGTGGGTTTTTAATCCTGCTGCCTTGACCATTGTGCCTTGAATACGTGAGGCGTTTGTGGAAGCCTCACTTGCTAGTGGGAAGCCTGCTGAAGGTGACTTGGGCCACAAAGAGCGTAGCTCTCCATGTCAAAAATTCTCACCAAAAGTCACAGGTTCTCAACCACTGACTGCTCTCTATGCTTGTACATCACTACACAGTGGTAAGTTGGTGAGAGTGTAAGCCCAAGGGTGTTCAGACCTCTTTGAAAGGGTGGATAACAGCAGGACAAGGGGAAATAGTTTTAAGTTGAGGAAGGGAAGATTTAGGTTGGATGTCAGGGGGAAGTTCTTTACTATGAGAGCGGTGAGGTGCTGGAACAGCTGCCCAGAGAGGTTGTGGATGCCCCGTCCCTGGAGGTGTTCAAGGCCAGGTTGGATGGGGCCCTGGGCAGCCTGGTCTGGTATTAAATGGGGAGGTTGGTGGCCCTGCATGTGGCAGGGGGTTGGAGATTCGTGATCCTTGAGGTCCCTTCCAACCCGGGCCATTCTGTGATTCTGTGATTCTGAATCCTTGAGGTGATTTCTTGGATGTCAAGATGAAGATCCTTTCAAGGAACTCTGGTATCACAGAGTACCTTTGTCCTACCTGCATTTTGTAGAAGATTAAATAGCATATGTAATACGTACAGTTTTTTTAGACAAAAAGCATGAAAAAATAGTCTTATCATTTTGCATCTATGTAATGAATTCTTCATAGTGTAGAACAGACTGCTGAGAAAATGAATTCATTGTACAAACTGTGAATCCTCTTTTCATCACGTATACAGTTGGTATGTCAATTCAGTTGCTTTGTTTGCCATTTTTCAACTAAGTAGCTAAATTAGTAGATGGACTGTAAATAAAGTAAAACCTCTCTAAAAAACAGTCTTGCTGTTAATGTGGAGACGTATTTTGAAATTTTAGTTATTTTCCACTGTCTGATCTTTGTTTTTGTTTTTTTTCTGCTGAAAATGAAAGAGGGCACAGGAAGTTCAAATCTTCACATACAGATTTAGGTAAAAATCATCATCCTGTTAAAAACCTTCGTATAAGTCCTTCCATCATCTTTTTGAATTGCTTCCAGAATACATTCTCCAAGCTCAGAAAATTGAGGCGAAAGTTATAATAGCTATAAAACTATTTAAGATGTAGGTTTTGGGTGAAGTTCCATGGCACTGCACAGATCTGTTATGAAATACATCCAAATCACCCTCTTTTAGCACAGCACCCTCTACAAGTATTGCAAGAAGGCTTAACTTGTTATCCTCATCTACAGTCAAGTGGTGAGTGGGTGAAGGAGAATCCCCGTGCATTAACAGTCCCCAGAAACCCCTGTTCTCCTGGTGTGGTGTCCCTAGTAGCTCAGATAGAGGACATAGAAGCTGAATTCAAACCCCATGCTGTTGTTGGAAGGTCCTTAAGCTCTTCCTGGCCATGTTGGCAGGAGAGGTTAAATGTCGGTGCGCTGAGCTTCTGTCCTGGAAGTCTAAATTAAGAACAAGGCTCTGGGCTGCTGGTAGGCCTGCAGGAACTTCTCAGCCTTTGTCCTCGCTCTGTACCCGGCTGACCTGAGCTGCCCCCAAAATACAAATCCACTGCACCATGCTGTCAAAACAAATTACTCAATATCAGGCAGCACCGCAGAGGAGACAGAAGGCAGGATCTCAGTGAAAGTAAAAGGCTGTTTTCTCATGCTTGCTGAGGAACTAAGGCAGACTAAATGCTTTGACAAGAGGGGAACTTTTCCCCTTCCCCAAATGTTGCCATAGGTCTTGATGCAGAAGGTAATCAAGTCTCCTATGAGGGCAGAGAGCAAGACATGAAGAGCCCAGGTACCTGAAGAGCCCTGTTCCTAAGGTTGGCAGATCTTAAGAACCTTACACTGCATTTCTTAAAAGTGGTGAGGTATTTAATCAGGAAAGCCCAGATTAGAAGCCCTAATGACCCATTAAGTCAGAGGCATCCAGTGCTGCAGCTGGCCTCAGTGGACAGGAGCAGGGAGGGAGAAAAGGAACAAAGCAACAGAGGGAAGAAGCTGGCAGATCTGATGAGGAGGACAGGATTACCATGTGAGCATGTAATAGATCTGTGGAGAACAAAGCTTGCTTAGACCTGCACTCATAAAACAAGTTGGTTTTCATTTACAATAAACCATGCAAGCCGATACCAAAATATGCCAGAAATCCACGTTTTGTAATTTTGTTAGCAGTGATTTGCAATTTACTGCATGCTCTTTGATTTTGTTCAAGGAGGTGGTTGTTCTGTTTTATTTAGAAGCAAGTTCACTTACTTGCCTGTGTACTTTGGAGATAAAATTAGAGCCCTGTGCGTCAGTCCATTGCCCCAGTTTTGTTTCGTGACTTCACTGAAGGTGGTCTAATATGCGTTAAATAGGCAAAAGAATTGTGGAGCCCTAAGGTCCAAATTACATGTATTTGAAACTGGCATGCCTAATAAAAGGTGGGGATGCTGACGTTGGAGAGGAGAAGTCTGCCATTTTTGTGTCATCAAACAGTTTGAAACGTTCCTAGGAAGGTGTCTGTGCTGAAAACAGACCTAGAACTCTTTCTGAACGGACCAGAGGCTGATGATAAATCGTAGTAAATCCTGGAAGTTACCTGATCTCAGTGGAGCCTTGAGAGGGAGAACTGATAACTGCACATCTTGTCGGGCAGATTATAACCTCCTGTAACCTTCTAAGCCTCCCCCTTTTATGGAGCTGAGAACAGTAGCCTCTTTCTTGTAAATGGAGGCTGCTGACTGAGAGTCTGAATTAAGAATGCAAAAGGAAAGACAAAAGAATGAAGCCTGTTTAAGGATCCCCCTGCATAATCTACTGAACTCGACTGAGCAGAGTGTAGGAGTTAGTGCTGAAGGGTCTGACTTGCTGATTTGGATAAACGCAATGCTCAGCAGATGAAGTCACACGTAATTAACTGTTCTGTGTTGCATTCTTTCCTATGTAATGACCTGTAGCATTCACACTTACAATAATTGATGCTTTTTGTGTGCTGGAGCTACAGGATAGCCAATTAAGGCAGTGAAAGTGGTAGTTGTGTGGAAGTTCTAGCATTGCTGTGCTACTAACATATAGGCTCTAAGTTCTTTTTCTTTTGTTATTTCTAGTGCCTGAAACAGTACATGCAGCTGGCCATTCAAGAAGGTTGTGGTTCTCCTATCACTTGTCCAGACATGCTCTGTGTGAACCATGGGACCCTACAAGAAGCCGAGGTATTAACACTTCTTTCTCCTTTTTTAAACATAAAAACCCCAAAGTTCTTTTCTTCATCTACATAATAAATACGATCATGTACTTTTTCCTCCCTTTAATTACCTTTAATGAGCTTTTGGCAAGAAGCCTGACTGACAGGAACTACTAGAAACAAACAGATGTTTTTCAAGGGTTTTGCTCCTTTTTCCATCTGTGCCTTGAGGAAAGGCTTAATTGGCATCCAGACAACCTCTGAATTATCCGTGCAGGTGACTTAACCAGAATACCTTGTATCCTAGAGTTGCTGAGCCTCCATTAGTGCTGTCAGTTAAATTAGATTTGATATGACTACAGACACTACAATTCCAGCACCTCTTCAAACCCAAGAGCAACAACACAAACTGATTATACACAAAGCCAGAACGTTTTCTTCTGTGTTTATAATGAGCAGCAGCAACCAATTTGTGGCCCAATATAAATACATGATACGGTAAAACTGCATTGAAAGAAAGGTATCTGCACAGCACTGGGTGGAGACTTTTCTCTTAGGTCTTAAGAGAAAAGTCTCTTGTTTCCCAGGGCAGAGATGGTAGAAATGGAGAGCTCAGAAGCTAAATGAGGTTTGGGCACAGCTGTTTGCACATCTGGCACATGCACAATCCCCCGAGTGACATGAAGGTTCAGTTTGGAAGTTGGAGGCAGAAAAGTGGAGGGAAAATGTAGCTTTAGACCTTGCACGCCTTGGGGCAGAGGGATTCAAGGGGCTGTAAATGGCCCCTAGAAGGCTTCCTAATGGCCTCCCAGCAGCACTCAAACAGCCTTCTGGCTCACTTAGAGCTTGTGCGAAGTTTCTGAATTGGGCTTAGTGCCAACCCTGTAACATGGGGAGGAACTGCTGACTGTGTGTCTGGAACCACACATGCCAGCTATTCTGCTCATCGAGAAAGCAGTATAAAACTGTGGGTAAATCTGATGCTGCCCTGCAGCTATTCTTGCTTGCTCTGTGAGCCAGGTAAACCCCTGCTGGGCAGAGGAATACAAGCAGAAAAGAAAGACTAAAGTCTTTTGGCTTGTTTGGTGCATTCTCTCTGCAGTTGTGCACAGGAACAAAATCAAGGAGAATCAGGCCTCCATCTCAGAACTAAAGAAAGGCAGTTTATTATTTTCTGCATTCCTTTAAGCTCTGTTTGTACAGGTGGCATAACTGTATTAGAGATGTATAATTCTGTTCAAATGCAATCAGTGACAGCACAGTTCCTTGATGAATTTGACCTGTGGTCTTTTCTTTCAAAAATTTTTGTGCTGTGCAGTAAAAGCTGCAAGATCAGATCATAGTAGCTAAGCTATTTCTCACAAATATTTGAGATGTGATTACTTTCTGACGGGAATGTGATATTAAGTAGCAAACTCAATTCCATTAACCATGGGATGAGATTTTCCTTTGGCCAAACCCAGCTACTGTGGAAAGAAATCAGCTGCTGCCATTCCTCCTTTTTTTTTCTTTCTTTTTTCAGTAAATGCAGAAAGGGCATAGCAGTGTCATTCCTTCCTATTGCACCACACTGAAGGCAACCAATGTTTACTGAAAACGCTGCTTTTAAAGAAAATGAACAAATGCTAGGAAGAATTCTGCACTGATAAACTAGGGCTATGATGCTATAGGAATTATAAGAATGTATTTCCCATTAATAAGCAGAAGGGCACTCCAGGGTAAGTATTAATGGACCATTAGCTTAATCCTTGAGTGCTTTTTGGGACTAAGGTAGAATGACCAAACTACCTAAGACATGCGTTAATGTCTGGTGGATGAATTAATATTCTAACAGTCCCTCTTGCCAGCTCTCTTGAAGCACAAACCCTCTGCTTGAAAAGCAAACAAGTCCCCAGTCTGGTTAAAGCAAACTGCTCATGTATGAGGACTGCTGCAAAAGTAATGCTTCCTGTTTTATTATGTTGGCACATGACATCAGAGGTGAATGTTGGTGGTGTGGCAGTAGAGGTTGAACCTTCCCACAAATATTCTGATGCATTTCGTTGTCTTATGTGAGATAACTGCAGAGGGGCAGCCTGGCAAAATGGCATCTGACATGGAAGTGCATCCAAAGTGAAGGTGTGTCATTTCCCTCGTGTGGAAAGAGCAGCACCTACTGACATTTATTGATGCTTGCTGAATGTTTCTGGAGACTGAATTGTGGATACAAGCGCAGTGAGGCGGTAGTGATCTTGTTCATCACTGGTGAAATCGCATCGCTAACAGTGGTGGCTATGCTGAACAAGAGTGTTTTGTAGCTGAGAATTCGCTCTACTAGATACTGTTATTGTGCTCTTTGTAGTTGTTGGAGTTTCCATGGAAATAAATAAAAGGCATTACTTTTGGAGTGACCTACATATTTTACTAAATACTTCAGTAAAGAAAACCTTAGGAACCAATAAAGCGAGAACAATTGAAATAATAGATTATGAATAATCTGCATGATCAGACTGCAAATTATGCATGAGCATTCTGCGTTCTTTTCTGTAAAGACTGTGAAAATGTGGCCTTTAAAAGCTGTTAGTTACACAAATCCTTATTCAGATGGTGCAGAATATCTGTAAGTGTGGCTGTTGTTTGGCACAGCAGTGCAGAATACAGTCACACTCTGAAACTTCAGGCATGAAGGTATCAGTCTCCTTGTCTCCAAAAGGTCTGGATGTTTGCTCTCTGGCAGGTAAAAGTTCCACAGCAGGACAATGCCATGAGAAAAGACACAACCCTGGCAACCACTTTCTCACCTGTCCAGTAGCGTATGCTTTGAAGCCACTTATATTTGTGCATTTCAAAGTTTCTCTTTTGGTAAATGTTAGTGTATGGAAGCAGGCATTCTTCTGAAATTGTTGTAGCTGTTGCCTGTACTAGCAGGTGCTGCTACAGTGTAAGGAAAAAATAGATTATCCCTTTAACAGACACGTTGTTAAATTGGTTCCATACTTTGGGCTAAACTGTGTCTAATTATGTTAGTCAACACAGTTGTCTTGTTTGTTTTTCAAATGCCTATTGCCCTATCCTGCATAAGGGAGATAAGGTGAACTTAGGCATAATTTTAAGTGAAGAAAAGCCTTTCCATTGATATCAATGGGCTGAGTCCTCTTCACTAAGGAAGCTGGACAATTTGTAATAAAGCTTATAAGCAACTTATAATATGTAGTAGTTATGGAAGATTATTTACTACTTTCTGTCAAGGTCTTTATTCAAGGTGTGTAGTGTTTCTTTAGTGTTTTCTGTTTACCTACTTTAATACCTTCACTGTGAATTAAGTATGCTTTGTCCTTTGAGCAAAATTCTTGCGTTCCTGTTGTTCAGTACTAAATTATTTGAGCTTTGGATTGCTCTGGACTTGATTCTGACACACGTGCTTGTTGTGTTGCTTTTGACAGGTGAGGGCAAAAGCTCTGGGTAACATTTTAAATGTGTAATACAATTTCTTCCCATATTTCTCATGAAGAAATGAGCAAGTCTGAAGAACTGGAACGCGACTTTGTAGAACAGCTAAAGACTTCATCAGCGTTTAGGGAGTAAACTACTCATTTGCAGAATATGAGATGCTGGGAGTTAAGGCTCAGCTTTTGGTGAACAAGAGCACTGTGTCTCTGGATCTCGGAAGAAAACATTTCAGGTTTTTTATTCTTAAAAAACTTAAGTCATTTGAACTGGAAAATTGTACCTTTAGGTGCTTAAAAAATATGTTTTCTGAACCCCCTAATTTGGTTTGTGTTTATAATAACAAAATCTAGCTGAAACTGGTATGTTCCCTGCCAGTTTTTTGTTCTGACAAACAGTACATTCAAATAGAAGGAACTGTTCCATGGGGGTGCTTGAAATCAAGTCTAATCTTAGATCATATCTTGGCCTGTTACATTAAGGTAGCAGCTGCTTGTAGTATAGCTTGTTTTAAAGTAGAAATAAATAGGTTTTGATGGTGGGAAGGCAATGGTTTTGCCACCAGACTCTTTCAAATTAACTGGTTACACGAAAAAAAGAAAGTTTAAAAGCAATCTTGTTGGACAAGATGTTTGTCCTTTTGCACTCTAAAAAGTACAATAAATGAAACTGCTTTGGATTTGTTCCCAGAAGCAGGAGGTGGAAGGAGCATCTGATGCTGATGCAGTCCTCTTCAACTGTGCACACTTCTTCCATCTCGAATACTCCTGTCTCTCTTGGGAATTCACTCAGTTGATTTAATTGGAACAGTTAATATCCCTAATCTAAAGAAAGGGTAATTTATCACAATTTGAAATGGTTTTACTTGGTACAAATGCAATCACCAGCGTAAGCTGGGAATCAGTACTATGAATCAGGTCTTGAGTGCATTTGATAGCTTCCAATGTAGTACTCACTGGGATAATTTCTAGTGGACTGTGCTTTGCTGCTTCTGATGCCTGTACTGTTTTGCAGCTCATAGGGCTGATGCCAGTGTATATGTGTCTATATGTAATTCTAATTGGATTAATATTGTGAAGCAGGCAGTTGGGTTTTCCCCTTGCCTCATGAGTTCAGTGAGGACAATAGTACCTTTGCAGTTAGTACAGTTTCTATTTCTTGTCCCTCCATCTGTGTGAATACCTGGTCTACACCAGTGCTAATCTGTCAGCACTTTGCAAAGAGATACAGAAATGAGATGGTGACCCAAATCTTAGAGTTCTTTACTGTTGTATTCCATACACAGCTGAGCAAAAATGCCATCGAGTGTCAGTTTAAAATACTGGTTTTATTTTTAATTTGAAAATTGGTTTGCATTTTGCAAGAGGTGATTGACATGGTAAAATGAGGAGGAAGGTGAGAAAATGTTGACCTATCTTTCAGGGTCAAAATTAAAATTGTTATACGTGTTATTTACTTATGTCAGTCCAAGAGAAGTAAATGATAGAGTCATTTTGTATGTATGTATCATTAAATGAGCTCCTTGGTGGAGAAGAGAAATTAATGTTTCACGATTAAGTTACTGAATATGGTAGCTGAAAAAGAAAGGAGTGAGCGTAATTTCTAGCAATGAGATTGAACCTCTATACGATCTCCCTGCAAACCACAGCCCAGCTTAGATCTGTTTTGCACTCTTAGCAAAATTAGATGCTGCCTCTGTGAGTGCAACTTCAGCAGAGATGGGCAGTGCAGCCCTTTGCAAGTGGCTCTTGGTGCTGCTGGTTCAGGATCTTTCCTTGCCGTGTGTTTGCTAACGTGGAAAAGGGAGAAGCACTTGCCCTGATGAACTCTCCTCTTGTGGCATTATCAAGGCTTGATTCATATGGGTGTGAAAGGAAGGAAGATCTTTAAAGTTCTATTTATTGCCTCCTTGCACATCCTTTGAAAGCCTGAGAATAGACGCATGGAATTCTGTTTACCACTGTGATAACCAGCATTCAAAAGCAGGGAACTTGTTCTGCCTTGGCTCTTGCTTATAGCACTGCCCAAGTTACAAGGAACAGTCTGCCCCTGTGTAAACAGAACTCCGTTCCAGTGCTTTCCTTCTCCTTCCTTTGCTCTGTTTCTTGCATAGTAATAGCACCTCTCGTTATTGTACCATACTGGGCAGTCTTTTGGGACACTCGGAGAGGGTGCAACTGGAGACTTTAGTGATAGTGAGCCTTCCAAGTTTTCCTTTTTACCCTGGATGTTCTTATTTCAGGTGGGAGCTGCCATTTCTCATGAGAACTGTCAGTATTCTGATGCTCTGACAAGAGAATTTTATCTGTTGCTTACATAGAGAAACAAGAAAACTTATTTCAACTCCTGCCATTCCAATAAGTCTCACATCAAGATCTTTTCAGAAGAGTCCTAGCCTCTCATTTTCTTCATAGGTTTTTACTGTAACTTTAACTTAGCTTTAAAAAAAGATTGTAAAACCTGTCAATGTAGCAATGAATAATTGATTAATTTCTTAGTCTGGAAGAGGAGACCTCTGGATGCGCTCACATTCTTTCCGCACTTTGCCACCTGCTGTGTGGGCAGTTTGCTTCTGCTCAAGCTCCTTACCTGTTGAATGCAGTGTTCGAGGCAAGGCAGGGGAAGGGGTGTTTGGATGGACTCCTGAGTAGGGCTGAGACTGTTTCTGAGTCTGGTGTGACCCCTGCCATAAAGACTGGGAGACATGCATGAGCAGCCATTCGTTTGGCCTGTGTTCTTGTCCATGAACAACGGTTTTCAATTTCCAAGGCTGGGTAATTGTCACCTTCATATACATTAAACAAACACGAAATAAAACTTTATAGTAAATATAGAATCCATCCACAAAGAAGGCTTTCCTGTGCATGATCAGAAGGACGTGGGTGAACTACTGGGCTATGGGGCTGAAGTAGGAGAGATCAATTACTCCTTTACGCTTTGGAGAAGGAAGTCTAGGTATGGATGTGTGTGGTGGTAAAAGGCAAGAAGGAAAAGAAGGTGAATTTGAGAGCTGGCTCAGGAGAGCAGAAAAGTAGAACAGGGTGTTTATTTTTCTCAAGTCTCTAATTGTTTCTAATGCTTTTTCTTTGTTTCTCATTGCAGATTGCCTATTTGGTACCAGTTGACCAGTTTCAGCTATTCAAGAGGCTGAAATTTGAACGTGGTATGAAACTTTTCAGTTTCTGTTACCTCGATTTTTAAAATGTCAGTGGAAGCAGTAATATAACAAACTCTAAAGCACTCTGCCTTAAGACAAAGTCCACTGGGTAAATTAAGGAAGAGGTGGAGAAAATATCATTATTTTGAAATTGTTTAACTGCAATCATGAAGTCCACAGGCCAATTTGAAATGATTTTGGTAAAACAAAATCAACAGTGGCACTTTACTGAAATATCATCCTTTTACTCAAACTTGTGGGCAGCACTCAGAGATTGTGTGCCCGAAACACTGTCACCCTTCCTGCAATGTGTTCAGCCTGGGTCCTTGAGGCAGTGGTTGTACAGGGAGAAAAGTGATAGCAGAGTGAGACAAGGTGCCAGAGACCGATGCTCTGCTGCAGGGCACACATGATCCTTTACTAGGGGATCTTCCAGTTTGGGGATCTTCAAAACTGTGAGAGATGGACCCTGTTGTCTGATAGGAACTTCTGCAAACACCCCTAGAAAAGAATTTTTTCTCAGGAGAAGCCTTGTGAGTGTTCCTCTAGTATTTTTAAATTTTTCCTGGTGGATCATTGGTCCCCTCATTACTGAGTAACGGCATATTAATAACACAGTTTGTAATTGAAGGTCAGAGGAATGCCAGCAGTCAGCATTGTGATTCAGGAGGCAGGTCCAAGCCAAGGCTGAAAAAGATGCTTGCCAGTCAGAAAGATGAAGTCCCACAATGATTTTAAAGACTGACTCCAACTGGAAAGCCCCAGTTGGAAGTTGCAGTATTTTTGTAAGTTCTCATGCCATGGTAACTTGCAGAGTAGTGTATTTGGGACTGTCTGCCCTGACTCTGCTTGTCTTTCCTCTAAAGACTGTATTTTTATCATCCTATAGATGCATGCTTAGATGCAGATTAATTGGGAATATCTTTGAAATTGCAGAGTTTTCCATTAATGTACAGTAATGCACTTTAAAAGATGGTCAAATAGAAGAATGTGTGGGTTTTTACTGAATCTCATCTTGCCTGAAGTTCAGTGAGATGACCATGAAGCACAAAACCAGCAAAACGAGTACACCCAAATGTACCCCGGAGTTCATGGGCAGATGCAGATTGTAGCTGTGGTTTGCACGTATATTGAATACTTTTGAAAAAATCCCAAGAGCAGCTTTCATTTTTTAGTTCTATCTCAAATTCTACCTTCTTCTCTTTTACTCTTAATTCGTTAGGAAGTTCCACCTGTTCATAAGCAAAACACTCACTTGCCTACAAACCTGAACAGAAAAATTCAGAGCTTGTTATATCATCGTATTAAAGAAAGAGAGGCATTCTTGAAATGCATTTATCTGTTTTATATAAAATCTTTTGTGTTAAGAGACTGAAGACTGTGAAACTAAGGATTTCCTGGTATCTCTTCCTCTACAACCAGACAAAGCTGAACTCATGATCTTTTGTCCAATTCCCTGTTACATCTTATTTTTGTTTCTTTTTTTTTCATTGCCTCCCACTCATAGAAACCTGAAACTTGCCTATTTTTTAAATCCTCCTTCCCTTTTCTTTCTTGCCTAAGTCTTACAAATCTCCTCTACACCTCTACTTCCTCTCTTCATGATGTTTCTAAGATCTGTCCTTTCTCCTCTGTGATGAGTAAAACTCATCAGCAGGTTTAAAGTGAGCCTTTTGGCCTTGTGTGTTCTTAGCAATGAAGCCAGCTTACTGATAACTTAAACTGTAACCTGGCCACCAGCATTAATGCCACCCCAGCAAGGTCCTTTTGTACATCCCAGGTTTAGCACTGCCCCTAGGACTGGCCTTTCTTGAGTCATCAGTTGAGCCTGGCTGATTTGCTTCTGCTTGCCTGGAGCTGTCTTCTCAGACTTGACCCCAGCTCAGTAATGCTGGCCTGATTATCTTTTTCTGAATCTTGCAATAAGCATTGCTGATGGCACTGCTGGCACTGATTTCTGACTCTGGGACTCCTGACAGATGAGATCTGATCTGTGGCTTGTGTTTTCATCAGCATTTGTACAACCTAGCCATTCTCAAATCTCATGATATGCAAAAGCTGGGTCGCTGCTGTCTAGCCCTAATCTCTCTCATGGTCTCCTAACAGCCACAACCACTAGGTACCTTTGTGAGCCATTCTGACACCAGGCCTAAGGCAAACTCAGTGTGGCTCCTTGAACTGACAGCAAATGTAGTCCCTTGGTATTTGTGTTCAGCCATAGGCTTTCATGAACTTCAGTCATTATGCAACCAGATGGCCAGAGCTGATGTCAGCCAGAAGCCAAGCCAAGTATATCTTCAGAGGTCCATTAAATCATTGGAATTGCTTAATGACATAGAACGTTTCAAAGAGCTGCAAGATGGTGTATTAGTAGCATTGCTCTAATCAGCCTTTTAGGGTTTCTTAAATAAAGAGAAAATTTACTTGTGAAATATTTTGAGCTCTGTTTTCTTCATGGTTTTCAGTTTTTCTTCAGACATGGCACTGGAAACAGCTAGTTTGAGTTAGCTAGGGATTTTTTTTTCTCTCTTTTTTTTCTTCTGTCTTTCTGAGAAGTCAGCGTGGTAAGGGAAAGAAATCTAAAGCAAATATGTTCTCCAGATGCTGCTCTTTAAAGTACAGTAGGCCAAATTCTGATTCTTAGAATAGACAGGTACTACACTGTCCTGCATTAATTTTGTTCTGATCAACAAAACCCTGTATTCAAACCCTTCAAGTTCCTGTATATAGTCTCTTCTACTCTCAACTTCTGCTCTCAGCTTCTCTTGCGATAAGGGCTTTCTGTGCTCCATCTTGCTTCAGCACCCCGTTTGCTTTCTTAGAAGTGTTCGAAATGACCAAATTCTTGGTGAAGTCAGGAGAGGGGGCAGTAAAACTGCTACCTTGGACTTCTGAAGGGCGCACTTCGAAATATGCAGGACGCTGGTAGGGAGGGTTCCTTGGGATTCAGTCATGAAGAGTAAAGGGCTCCAGGAAGGCTGCTCTCTCCTCAAGAAGGAAGTCTTAGAGGTGCAGGAGAAGGCTGTTCCCCTGTGCCATAAGATGAGCTGGTGGGGGAGAAGATCAGCGTGGATGAACAGAGAAATTTTTCTGAGGCTCCAGGAGAAAAAAAGAGTCTACCTCCTGTGGAAAAAGGGATGGGCAGAGTACAAAGAAGTTGTTAGGATATGCAGGGAGAAAATTAGAAGGGAAAAACCCAGCTTGAATTCAACATGTCCACTGCAGTAAAAGAGAACAGAGCTCTGTGGCCAACAAAAGAAACTTAGCAGTGCTTAACCATGTAGAAAAGATGAGAATGCCACTATGAAACATCTCCAAACTCTCCTGTTTATTTCTTCATACCCCTCCTGCCTATTGCCTCTGGAAACCCCAACGTTGTTCCACGAAGAAAGGCCTTTCCTTCATAAACAATCTGCTCTCTGAACATGATTCTCAGTTCCAAACATTTGACACATTCACAGACTGGACATAAAAATAACCCAGGGCTGAACATGAGCCTTATGGTGGAAAGTTCAGAAATTTCAGTCCTTTCAGTTTGTCATGGAGAGTGGGTTCTGTGGTTCAGGGTAGGCTCTTAAATATGAAAAAAGAGCAAAGTTCTGGGGAACGAGGATTGTTTTAAAGGGAAGTTGTGATGGCTGGGATGCTGATGTGAGCTACATCTTGATGGAGCTTCCAATGACTAAGCCACATTTAGGCATTGTTAGCAACTATCAGCAAGGGAGCTGAATCTTCTGTAAGACTGAGTTTCTTGGAGGAGATGAGCTAGCTTCTTAGGAGAACTTCAGTCCAGTTCCTGGGTGAGAGCCTGCAGACCCTGCTTTAGCAGGAGGTTGGACGTGATGATCCCTAGAGGTCCCTTCCAACCCCTATGATTCTGTGATTCTGAGATGAATTTTGATGACCTGAAGAACTTATACATCCCAAAGCTGTTTTACTCGCCTCCTATATTTGCTACCTATTTTAATGTATCTTTCCTCTCTATTACCTTATCTATAGTAGACAGATAATATTGGGTTAAAAGTTTGTGGGAAATAATTGGTATACAATCTTATACCTATATGCTCTTTCTTCATCTGATAATGAATGTACTCAAAGCATCCAGTCTTCTTGTTCTGTGTTCTTAGAACACAGATGTTTTCAGATTTAAATCAGCTTTCTTACATATCTTTAACTCACATGCTGGCAGTCATGACCTAGCCACAGGGCTTCTATGTAATTTATCTTAATAGAAGAAATCAGGAATTACTGCATGTATGTTTATGATGGAGTTGATGTGGCCATCAGAAATAACAAAATAGAAGAATAGGATGTGGTTAAAACATATGCCTCATATTTCTATGACAGTTGCCCAATAGTGAAAGATGATGTGAAACTCCACTTTATGCCTACTGGAAAAACAGTCCATCAAAAGGGAAATATTCCTAATATTCTGTGGAAGGCATGGGCTCATCTTTTCAGTAGGCACCTCTCGGAAGCCAGATATTCTCTCTTCTTCAGGATGCTACAATTCCCATCTTTGCCTCCCGCATCTTGCTTGCTTGTATGTTTTGTGAAAACTGTCCAGATCTCTGCCTGTCACAGGCACTGTTTGGGAAAGCGTTCTTCCTGAAAGTGGGCTGAGTGTGGCTGAAATGGCTGTGGGGAGACAAGGAAAAGGCTTAAGAGAGAAACAGCCCTAACCAAAAGATTGAACATCTCATCAGAGCAAAATAATAAATTCTTTCCTTGTTTTGACTGCTCCTTTGTGTTTATTTATTTATTTTTCTGGTTTCACTTGTGCTCCATGGTAAAGCAAACAGCATGAGACAGCATGGATTGCAAAATACCATCTGTAGGTTCTTTGTGAAAATGGAGGAAGTGGGAGAGGAGGGAATTTCATTTCAGGCATCACATCTTGCTGCCACCAATCTGTAAAAATCAGTAAGATTTACAACCCTTCTTGCATTGAATGTCAAAACCAGACATCCTGTCTTTCATCCAAAAACAGGATAGGTGAATTTGTGTTTCCAAAATTGAGCATACTGCAGGCACTGGAGTTTTTCTTCCTTTAACTGCTGTTTATCATCAGAAATACTGTGTGAAGACTGAAATGCAACAGTCAGTAGTAGGGCATGGTCCTACCCAGTTCAGAGCATCATCTCTGAAAGAAGCTTGGATGGCTTGCCCATCACTGTGTCTCTTTTCTCCCCGCAAATGAAAGTGCAAGCTGTTTTTGGCAAAATATTTGTTTGCTTTTGAGAGTAGAGGAAGCATGTGTAAGAGAATAAGGAGAAAGAAGAGAACTCAATTCATGAGTGGCTTACAAATAAGGTAGTACGGGTGTTTTTGCTGGCACATTCTAAATTATAGGTTAAAGCCTTTGCCGTGGATATGTGAAGTCTCCACATCTGTCAGAGGACAGACTAAAATATTACCTTTAGTTGGAGTAAGTACTTGTGTGCCCTTCAGGCAGCAGATCAGCTGGTTATCCTTACTAGGTTCCTCACTGTAAGTGTCATGCAGAACTGGACAGGAAGGGTGGAAGATAAATGAGCACAGCAAAGCTGTGTTATACCACAGGGACTCATCGTGCCAACTTTAAATCTGGGAGACTGAGTGCTAGTCTTTGTTGGAACAGGTTCAAAATTTTGTCTCTCTCATGTCATGTTGAAGTTCTACTTTTGGAATAACCTGAATTAGGTCTTCCTGCAGAGTCCTTTTGGAAATATTCTATGTTCTGCACAAAAGAGTGAGGTAGGTTTTAAGATAGAAACAGTCAATGACTGCTTTGCTGTATTCACCTCATCTCCCAGGTATTCTCCTTGCCACTGCTATGCATACAGGTTGGAAAAGCATCCATGGAAATGAAAATCCAAACATGGGACTGTCTGATATCCTCAAAAAAGAATGAAGCTCAGCTTGCCTTGAGCAGAGGAGCTCTCTCCTATGTGTTTGCTCTCAACTATTAGAACTATTAGTGTTCCATCTGCTTTGTGGCTTTGCTAGTATGATTGTTGAGAACTTACTCTCCATTTGTCAAAAATCACCCCAAATATTTGAATAGTTTTACAGACGGTAGTTTTGTCTGTTTCTTTTGTTTCCGAGCTACTAATGGATTAATTTGAAGTTGATTTGTTTCAGTTAGGGAGAGATATAGCCTGTTAGAGGGTTTTTTTTTTCTTCCTAGCTTTAAAGAAGCAGAACACAGATGTTTGACATAGTAGAAGATAACTCAGTTTCAGTGGATTATGAAGGCTGTGGGATGTCCTTCTCCCAAGTGTTTATGCATATGTATCTACTTTTATCTATCTACTGATAATGTTTTATCTATATACTGATTGTGTATCTACTGTTCTCCTTATTTGAACACATTTGTAGTTGTACAGTTTCTACTTTGTGGATATCTGGATCTGAATTGATATAGTTGTTTATCATGCCAACTGGAGCTTGTCCTAGATATCCATCCAGCAGCCCCTTTCAGCGTGAGTTGCCAGCAATGTCCTGCAGAGGAGCAGTGCAGAAAGGGGTGTGCATGGAAGGAAATGACTTCAACTGTTTCAGCAAAATTTGCCAAAGAACATATTTCAGAGGTCCTTGTGTAGCCTATTGTTACAAGTGGGACAATATTTTATCAGCTGAAAGTACAGAATAATTCTGTAATGGCTATTGACATCTCACAGTCAGGTATTTCTATGCATTGCTGTTTTCAAGGCTGGTATCAGAGAACTTCCAGGGCAAGAGGAGATGCAGATAGCTCCTTACAGCATGACAGCCCTTTTCTAGGGAGGCTCTGTGGGTTGGGAGCATTTGGCTTCACTGCAGGGACTTGAGCAGTGTAAAGCAGTACATAGTAGACAACCCAGCAGTGAATGTGATTTGTCTGGGTTTCTCTTGTAAGCCCACATTCTTTTAGTAAAGATTGGAAAGTAAGAGAAATAATTGACGTTTATTATTCACTGCCATGTGCCACTGTATGTAACTCATGATTTCCACCCACTGTCTTACCTTGACTATTGCAATTTGAGACCTGATCAATAATGCTCATATTAATCAGTTTGTAGATGGTGGGGGGAAGTAAGTCACAGGAAGAGACCTGGCATTAATTTAATGACAGTCCTTCTGCTACTAACATGAGAGATATGGCATGGCTTGCACATGCGAAAGATGTAATGTCCTAGCATTACAAAAGACACGTGCATTTTCTTCATAGCAACAGTTACCTTCATCGTTTTTGTCTCCCTATAAAAGCAACGAAAAGTCCTGTGTAGTCTATTGCCATTATTGTGATGCATCCAATGCAGCAGCTGTTGAAGAATTCGGTTCTACACTTGCATGAGGAAGAGAAGTAGCCTCAAACCTCCACAGACACAGATTCAGAAGGTTTCAGTTTCCGTGTGCACGTTCAGAACAGGGTCTTGCATACCTCAACATGCCACCAGAATGAGAACAGGGCCGTATAAGTAGTTTTATGTCTGTTTCTTTTGTTTCAGAAGTCCATTTGGACCCTCAGAGAACATGGTGTCCTGCAGCAGACTGCCAAACGGTGTGCTGCATTGGACCAAATGAGTCGGGAGCGCCGGTGCCGGTGGAGTGCCCAGCCTGCCACATGATGTTCTGCTCCTCTTGTAAAGAGGCATGGCACCCACAGCGCCCGTGCCCAGAAAACCAAGCTCTGGTAACAACAGAGCAGGGGTAAGAGTAAAACCCACAATGGCTGTGCTAGTTCTTCTTGGCATAGGGTGCTTGTTCTGTGTCCAACTTCAATTTCATGGAACTGTTTTCTTATTGGCATCACTGATACTGTCCATCTCTGCTGGCATTTCCTAAATAGAATTCCAGTCTAATTTCTATTTTAAATTATGCATGTTGGTTTTATATAGCATTAAAGACCAAGAGAATGGAGTTTCACTTTCATATGATGTAAAATCCTACATCTAGTAGTGGATATACTTCAGTGTATTCTATTGAATATAATAAGCTTCACACATTGTGTTAAGACAATAACATTAGATGCTCCAGAAAATAAGTAGAATCTACATTAGGAGCTGAGTATCAGCAGTAACTATATTTAAATTTCACTTTAATGTTTCCTTTCTCTTCTAGATCACTTATTGGAACTGAGACAGAAGCACCAATTAAGCAGTGCCCAGTTTGTCGGATCTATATTGAGAGAAATGAGGGCTGTGCTCAGATGATGTGCAAGAACTGCAAGCACACGTTTTGCTGGTATTGCCTACAGAACTTGGATGTAAGTGCCATGGAGAAAAAAAAATCTAGATGAAGGCTTAGTGGGGGCTGAGGTTAGTCTGAAGCTCCACCCAAAGTTCTTCACCAACCTAGGAAGTCTAGTTCTAGGAATCATAGAATCACAGAATCACCAAGGTTGGAAAAGACCTAAAAGATCACCCAGTCCAACTGTTCACCTATTCCCAATAGCTCCCACTAAACCATGTCCCTCAACACAACATCCAGTCTTTCCTTGAACACCCCCAGGCTCGGTGACTCCACCACCTCCCTGGGCATCCATTCCAGTGCCTGACCACCCTTTCTGAAAAGTAATACTTCCTCATGTCCAGCCTGAATCTCCCCTGAATAACTTGACTTATTTCAGATGCTAATTTAATTCCTTTTTCTCATCCAGTGCTTTTATTTATTTCAACATTCTTTTTTTCGTAAGGGATTATAGCCATATCCAGAGGTCCTATGGCAGTTCTTTGAGGGAAATGAGATGTACTGGTTACTTTCTGAAAGCTGATTACTGCATTACCTTTCTCCAATATCTCCTTTCAGTGCAGTAGCTACGAATGGTTTGGTTGAGAGTAAGAGAGATGGTAAGATCTACCTTCTCCAACCACGTGGATCACAGCCTGTCCAAAAAGGGCATGGTACTGGGAAAAAAACATTTTCATGGGAAGATTTGTTAAGAGCTCATATAAACTAGGTCTTCTTTACAAGCCCATTTCTAGTGCTGTGTTCATTGAAGAGAATGATAGATCAGTTGATATGACAATAAAGCTGTGGGATTATGGATGTGGATTATGAAGTGCAAGTAGCTAGTTGTTTCTCCAATGATACCAGCTAGTCTCAGCTTTTGTGGACTTCAGTCTTTCTAACAGGATTAAGAATACAAAAAGTAATGAACTCTGGTACGTGAGTTTCTCTTTCTTGCACAGTCACTAGTAACAAATGTGGGAGTGTGAAAATAACATTTCTAGCACTTGACATAAAATACTGAAAGATGCACAGCTTTTTTTCTTCTTTCTTGTACTCCACAGCCAGCAAACAATGAGACTTCCTCATTCTTCAATCTTTGTTTTCTCAGAAAGCATGTTTAACTTAACATCATGCCCTATTTTTGGATGTGGGAGAGCAATTTTTCAACATCTGTCTCTGGCTTGCCTCAGAGCACAGACAGTACACAGTGATTGCTTAACACCATGCTGAGCTGGAAGACCATCAGATTCACAGTTTTGGTAGACACATCCTCACTAAGTTTCAGCCTGTTCTGGAGGAAAAAAAAACCACAACCAAACTGTATCTATGTGGTTCAAATACAGTTTTTCTAAATGAGCAAGGTTACAGGAACGCCAGGTTTAGATGTAGCTAACAGCTGCAGAGCTGAAGAATAAAGCTGAAGAGCGAAAGAGGAGGCAGCATCATGTTACAATGCAGCTGGCAAGGGGAGAGTAATGTGGAGCATTCGTCACGTTCTGAATTAAAAATGGTTAATTCAGTATTGCTGGGAAAAGAAAAAAGAAAAAAGTCATTTCCTTTTTTTTCTTCTTATAATTATTTTCTTGTTAAGTCTATGAAGAAAATGCAGGCATAGCAGGACAGAAGGTAGAAGTACCTCAGAAGATAATACCTGAGATTGCAAACTTCCTGAAATATCTTCTCCAGAAGCCCCGTTAGCATCACCAAATAACAGACTAGGTACCTGTGCAGTAAGTGCAGTGCATATACTTAACATTTTTAAAAAGCATGTGAGGGAAGGAGCTATAAAGTAGGGGAAGGAGCTATAAAGTAGCTTGGGTCCGAAATGTACTGCACTGATTGGGACTGCAAGAAGTTTCTCTGGATGAATATTTGGAAGACAGATGAGTTTGCCTGTCAGCATCTGGTGGTTTTATGGCAGTGTCAGGAAAGTTGTGTTTCCAGTCCAGTTCCCAGACTGTAACCTCCTCTTACAGCTTCTTCTTTTTATTTTTTTTAGAATGACATCTTCTTAAGGCATTACGACAAAGGCCCTTGCAGAAACAAGCTCGGCCACTCGCGTGCTTCGGTGATGTGGAACAGGACGCAGGTGTGTTCCTAGTCAGCTAAGCAGAACAATCATGCATGTGTGAAGCAAAGACATTTTACCCTTCAGCAGAGAACCAAGATTGTTTTTCATGCTTTCATTTTTTAGCTTAATCCATGCTTATGCGTGCACATGCATTTTATTTTTCACGTTAGCTAAATATGTATTTTTCCCCACTGTGTCTTGCAGGTTGTAGGGATCCTCGTTGGACTAGGTATCATAGCACTGGTGACCTCTCCCTTGCTGCTTGTGGCATCTCCATGCATCATCTGCTGCATTTGCAAATCTTGCCGAAGCAAAAAGAAAAAGCACAGCCTACCTACAACCTAAAAGTCTGTGTCTGTTTGAGCCTGTATCTGTACAGTATACATTTGTGAGAAAGCACAACGGTTGGATTTTGGTGCCATGCCTATCAAATAATGCTCCCCTTTTTTCCTTTTTTTTTGGCCAATTTTTGGGATAAGTGCCTATTCTCTACAGGCTACTCTATCGGTAACAAGTGACAGGGTGGAAGAAGTCTAGATAATTGTAGAGTACATACGGTATATGGTTTTGCTTTCTGACAGAAAAACATAACGCCATTCAGTAGCTCATACTCTCAAGTGTGAGCCACCTCTTGAGGCTGCTAGAACTTTACCATCTTCTGTCAGCCACACATGAATCAACTCTGCAGTATTCATCTGCTTTTGCAGGCCCAGTTGTTACTGTCATGCTTTCTGTTGGTTCTTGGTGAAAGTCTCTGAAATTTTTGAGTGCGCTTTAAAAGGGGAAGAGAGGAGGCTCGATGTTTTTCTGTCTGCCAGCTCATCCCATTAGAGGTAACAAACTGTTAAAAAATGTATTTGACAGTTTTCTGTCAACTGGCAACCATGGCATTTCTTTCAGCATTGAAATCAATGGGTTTTATATTACTGATTCCAATGACAATTAAAAGCCAACAAAACTATTTCGAAGACAGAGCTGCCTTTTAAGAGACTGGACTAGCTTGAGAAAGCTGTATTTTTTTCTGATCAGACATGCTGTATCTAATTAGAAATATAAGGAGTTTGTATATTTCCCTGCTATTGGGCATACCTTTTGTCAGTAGCATGGGAGTAATTCCACCTTGAATCTAATAATTTAGGAAAGGCAGTGATACAGCTCCTATTCTTTCAGTACTGCGGTCTTGGTTGTGTGCGTATCCAGTGACCTCATGTCCGTGGATGTACCAAGTGCATAATGCACAATTTATTTTCTAGGTAGTCAGTATATTTTTTCAACAGTTTACCTGGAATAGCAGCAAGAACCCTGTAATGTTACTCAGAACAGGATAAGGAAAACCCTTTCTTGGACCTTCTGGACCTGCTGATGTAAATACTTGAGAAATGCTGTGCAACCATCAGTCCACAGGTGGATATTTCTTCTGTCCTGCCCAAGGTTAACAAACTGTTATATATATATATCATTTTTTAGTTATTCTGGATCTGTCATTTAATACAGCCTTCATTTTCATTTGGTGCCTCACCATCAAACTGATTCAGACCCTACTATCAGTTACACCTATATAAATTCACTGAAAGCTCCCTGAAGAGCTGAAGTTACTTCGGGCTCACTCAGGAGTAGCTGAGATCAGACTCTGCTCCCCCGAGTTTATTTCCTTAATGGCTGGTGCTCCTCATAACCCTGGCCAGCAGAGGCTTTTGTTCTGGGCTCCCAGTGCATTTTATATCTGTGGGAACTGATACGAGTTTGCACTATGTGAGCAGTTGTAATTCCATACCCCTTGTGATAAGGGCTGCAATATTTAAATGAGATGCTTGGCCTGAGCATTGTCTCAGGCTCTTCCTCCTCTTGTCTACCCTCCTGCATGCACACGGTGCAAGGCACCAGAAGGATGTTGTGAAGAGCATCTCTTCTGTTGCATTTGGCTGAACCTCAGGAACTTTGCCTTCTTGGCAGTCATAAATGTGACCTTTCTTTGTTTAACGTCGCCCTCTGGTTCCTGTAACAGAAGTGGTAGATGTTCTTATTTTAAGAAAGTGCAGTCTGTTGAGCAGACTAGCATGGACAAAGGCCTTAAATGATACTGTCTGTTTTACTTTTACATTGATTTATTTTATAAATGCTGTCTGGTTTTGTTACCAGTGGCGGTGCTCGCCAGTTGGAAAGGCTGTATTTATTCTTCATCCATAGCCTCTAAGGGAAGCAGAAAAATAGTCAGTACATTTTAAATGTAAAGTGCAATGCAGGCAACTACAATTTATAATAAGTGGAGAATGTTTTCTGTATGGTTGTTGTTTTTCTTTTTTAAGAATAGTAATGGTTGTGCTTGGAGGCAGTTATGGCATATTAAAGTATCCAGCCCTTGGCTTTGCACTATTTTTCTATCGATGTTTTTATGGCACTACTGTCATCTTCAGCTTATTTACAAACTTGCAGTTAAAAGTCTTACTGTAAGAAAGCATCAAGAACAAAGGTATAAGAGCTGTACAGTGACCAAACAGCTATACAGCTGTACACTGACCATAACCAGCATTGTGAGGTACTGGGAGTCTTTGTGTGTTGAACTTAGTTGTTTTTTCATGTTTTGTGATCCTATTTCTGCTAGCCAGTTTCTTTCTTTGCCTGCTTCCTCTTTCCCTTGCAGATGCTCAATGAAATGAATGTTTCTCCTGATTTTTCATTAATACTGCCATGTTAATGAAATTACCAAGTTCTTCCCTCTGTTAAAGGAATGCAACTGAAGGCAGTATCTTAATTGGAGTACAGTAGGAGGATTATTTTACTTAAAAGGCTTTGCACAGTGTACTGCATATCCTGACTTTTCATTGCATAGGGATTCCTGAGTATGCTTTAAGTAAACTGTGACCTTGCTAGTTCATAAGGCTCAACTAACTCAGCTGTGCAGAAGTTCTGGGAGCAGTAGGGCCCTACCCCTTGTTTTCCAGTGGACAAATATTTTGCACCAACTCATCACACTTAAAGGCTTCCAAAGAACTATATGAGCAAGAGACTTTTTACAGTGTTTCGTTCTTTCAAAAACAAAAATTATAAGAGAAACCATAGAATCGTAGAATGGTTTTTGCTGGAGGGGACCTTAAAGATCTTCTAGTTCCAACCCCTCGACCACAGGCAGGGTTATCAGCCACCAACTCAGGATGCCAAGAACCCATCCAACCTGGTCTTGAATGCCTTGAGGGATGAGTTACCCACAGCTTCCCTGGGCAGCCTGTGCCAGTGCCTCACCACCCTCTGAGTAAAGAATTTCATCCTAACATCTAACCTAAATCTCCCCTCTTTTAGTTAAAAGCCATTCCCCCCTGTTTTATCACTGTCAAACCATCTAAAAAAGTTGGTTCCCCTCCTGCTTCTAAGTTCCCTCCGAGTACTGGAAAGCTGCAGTGATGTCTCCCTGGAGCCTTCTCTTCTCCAAGCTAAACCTTTCAACCTTTCTGCCAAAGAAGAGGTTCTCCAGCCCCTCTGATCATCTTCATGGTCCTCCCCTGGGCTTGCTACAGCAGCTCTATGCCTTTCTTGTGCTGGGAGCCTCAGGCTTGAACACAGTACTCCGGATGAGGCCTCAAAAGGGCCAAATAAAGGAAAGATAATCACCTCCCTCTCCCTTCTTCCACCGCTCTTCTGATGCAGCCCAGGATGCAGCCGGCTTTCTGAGCTGCAAGAGCACACTGCTGGCTCATGTCCACCTTTGTGATGTTTCCCCTTTTCCAATCACCAGGGACTTTGCCAGACAGCCACGATTTTTTAAATATATGTGGAGATTGACTTGGCAAGCACATCAGCTAATTCCTTCAGAACCCTGGGATGCACATCATCAGGCCCCATTGATTTGTATACGTTCTGCCTCATGAAATGGTCTCAGACTTGCTCTGCTCTTACACTGGGATTGATTTTGCTCCCTCAATCCCCACTTAGAATTTCCAGGACACAAGTGGTGTGAGGAGCCTTACTGAGGCAAAGAACTCATTAAGTACCTCTCCGTGTCTGAGGTGGCCAAAAATAAAATAAAATAAAGAAATGATCTTCATTTTATAAAATAATTATTGCAAATGTGGCAAATAGTAACTAAAAAATTTGAGTTGAGGAGGAAGAGCTCTAGGTGCTTTTAGCTCTGCTAAATCAATGTGAGTCCACCCTCTTGAGCTCCATGTATGAGATGTGGTGCACATTACTGCCAGCCTTCCCACTCGCTATCCTTACCATCCATCCTTCTTCCTTCTGGCTTGGGGCATGTGTGTGGGTAACACACAGGGAACAGAGCTCAGAGCTGGGTGCTGTGTAGGAGCTGGGATCTATGGCATGTGGCCTGGCCTGGCTCCATCACCTGAAGCAAATGCTTCTCATGCTATAGCATAAGCACTTCTCCACAGTATTTGTTGTATTATTGTAGACCTATGGGAGGTGGTCAGTGTGGACATTCAATAGTAGGTTATTTTTCAGTGGTGCATGAGGTTACTTTACTCTAAGAAGAACATGAGGGCTTACAGTAACTGGTGTTTATACGGTGTTTTTATGATGTTAAGTTCTAGGTACTCTTACCTGTCCAGTAACATAGCATAAAGTATAGGTCCAAAGAAAAGTTTAAAGTATACGTAATTTTTACTTGAATAAACTAAGAGAAACTGGATACTACCTTCATATTTGCTTGGAGATATGCAAGTGGACAGCAATCAACTCCATTTCCACAAACTAACAGCAAAGTAAACTTTCAGCTGCTCTGTTTGTGGTACTGCAGCAGGCGGTTGTGTTGCAGTGCCTGCAGCTTTAACGGTCTGAAATCTGTTTTGCACTGTGTTTTCCTTTTCACAGTCACTTTTTTCTTCCTCAGACCAGATTCCCTTTAAGAGCCTATTTTTCATCCCCAGTCTCAGGCCAAAGATTTTAAAGAGTGAAATTAGTAGATTTCCTCATGTGAAAATAAAAGCCTTCTGATAATTTTCTTGCAAATTTTATTAAGAAATTTGATGCTGAGGCAATGACCAAAGAAAGAAAATTCCAGCTTGGCTTGTTCAGAAAAGCTTCATTTAAACTCGAGAGGTGGTCTTGGAATACGTAAGTAAGGACTGCTTTGTTAGAGCCCTACAGCTTTTAAGCCTCGTGTTTCTAGGAAATATGCTGTGAAGAAAAAATCACAGCTTCGATTATCTACATCAAAAGAGATTCTCCTGTAGGCATTCAACACCCTTCCCCATCCCCTAGAATCCTTCTAGAGTGAACTTGTACAATAAGATAATTGGAAATATACAGCAGAACAGATTAACTGTTCTAGCCATACAGCAGTGGAAAGATATCTTTCTCACATGTAAGACCAGGCCCTAATTTTTGTGGGTTGCAATAAAAACACAAAGATGTACCTTTCCTGGAATAAAAAGAATTGATTCTTCTGCATTCTGCTAGGAACTGCTAAGAAGTGAACTTACTGCTAAGATTATGAAACCCTTCCATCCCTTTTTTTCTTCGTCCTCTTGTTAGTTAAGTAATGTAGCAAGAACATAATGCTTTTGCAGAACAAGAATCCCAAAGGTCTGTTTTGTCACTATGTTCAGTTACACAGATCCAATGCACTTTTGAAAATTCATTATTTATATCATTCATACATAATTTATGTTTTGTAATTATAAAATACAGATTTTGAGGGCTGTGATACGTTTTACTCTATGATACATTTATTTGAGTTGCATTCAGATTGGAAATCTTTCCTCTTCTTCCTGGGGAGAAAGTCATTGTATTCCTGGCAGGGTAAATTCCTATGGTTTGCTGCTGTCCACAGTAAATGTTTTGTGCTATGTTTTACTTGTGCTTTGTTATGTCTTGTTATGATCTCTCAAGTTAGTTCTCTGTATCAAGCAAATACTATGGTTAGGGAAAGTATTTTCCTAGCAGTGCATTTTGGTGACTGCCACAGTTTGGACTATACAAGATGATGATGATTGACAAGATCCACCAGCTTTTTAGAGGACATGACCTCATTCTTTCCCTTTCTCTTACCCCTTCTGCCCAAGGAGGTTTCTCTTTTCCTAGCTGAGAATTAGGGACTTCTCTCATTAGTCTGTGCCTTCTGAATGTCCAGGATGGAGCAACTGCTTCTGGTGGCTACGTGCTGGGAGATCCCAGACAAGTTGAATGTGCAGTGCTTGCAGCGTTAGTGCAGTGAATTTCTTACATTTCAGGAAGGCGCCTGGTGGCTTACAGCTGGCTGGGACATGTGCTGCAGATGTGGTTGGTGGAACAGGGGCTTTGTCCAAGCAGCTTCATGAGCGCCCCCAGCTGTAGGGCGACCAGCTGCAGGACACATGTGTGGTGCTGAGCCACTGCAGCGCTGCAGCTGTGATGCTGGGCCATGTCACCATGCATGCATGTCTCCTGGAGTGCTGTAAGGGCCGCCGTCATCTCTACCTTACCCAGATTCCACAGCAAACCTCTGTTCCTTCAGTCTTCCAGTATCTGCTACTTGCCCGTTTCTATTGCAGAGAAACCTCAGATCAGATGAGTTATTTGGGGCTGGGCTGGTCTACACATTCATTTTGCTGAAGGTCTAGAAGGAAAAGCAAACTGCTATATGCCCTGCTGATACCAGCATCAGGGGCACCGAGTGTCAATTTGTGAGAACTCTTCATCTGCCACAGTGTTGCATATTTTTCAGGAAAAAAAAAAATAATTAAAAGTGTTTTTTTTGTTGTTTTAAGGCGTACTTTGAGGTGTCTGAGCCCAGCACCTGATCCTGAGTGCAACATGGACTGGCATCAGTCACAGACCCTGCTGGGTGGCAGCGCTGGGCTCAGCCCAGCTGTGGTCTCCCAGCTCTTGCTGGCAGGAGCAGGACACAGGGCTTCTATTGCTGTGCTGGGCAGATGGTGTGGAAGGGCATGATTAAATTGCAACAGGAGGAAGCAGTCCCTGAGCAGAGGGCCAGCCCCTGCTGTTCAGTGGGACTTGTCTCCTGCACTGTGCTGCACAGCGCTGAAATCCTCTTCAGCGTTCAGAGGTCGTTTACCTGGTACTTGGTTAAACTTAGGTTTTATTTATCCGGGTTTCTTCCTTTCTTCCAGGTAATACACTTTCTTCACCACTCTTACCCTGGTGAAGGGCAAAAGGGTTTGATCTTTGTAAGATTTGTTAAAATATTTCTGTGTTTATAAGAAAACTGACGTATAAAGAAATAAGTGCTTTTGTAAGATTTTGTTGTATGATTCAGCATTTAAACATTTTACAGATGCAATTTTTTGCACTCTCTCTGCGTACATTCATAAAAGTATATATTTATTTTCTGTCTTTGAGGTTTACTTTGGTGTTTTTTTCTTCTAATGTTACAAAATGCAATATGTGCGACATTAAATAACAGTGAAAACATCACGTTTTGTTGCAATTCTCTATTAAACTGTCTTCCAAAAGAGGAACGTTTGGTTCAAAAAAAACTACAAGAACAATTCAAATGTATCTGGGGTGCTTACTGGAAATGTACAGGATAAAAGGGGCTCCAATAGTTGGAAGTAAAATCTTGACTCTTACATACTTTCTGAAAAATGAATGAAATCAAACTGCATGCAGTACCTCCCCTGGGCTCCTGAACAACCTTTGAGATTTGCACTCACCCATTTACAGAGTGGGACGAGCTCTGGCACAGCTCCCACATGCTGTTGCAGATTTCCCTCTGCAGATGGGACGTGGGACCCCTGTAAACCCGGTCCTGTGCACACCGGTGGGGACCGCATATAGAAGGCTGCAGGAGGCCAAGTCTGCTGTTTTCAAGCCCTTTCTCATCCTTGTCCTCCCCCAGTCCTCGTGGCAGATCTAGGTTTTGTGGTTTGTGTTGCCAAAGGATATAATGAAGCATTACACAGCCCTGTAATCCCAGATAAACACGCTCCTCAGTTTTCTCACACGCACATATCCGACTGTATTTGTAAGGGACAGTCACAGCTATGTTCTTGAGCATCAAATATTTAAGTTGTGTTTACTATTCAGTATTTCTAGCTTAGCTACAATTACTCGGCACCCAGAGTCAGGATTTTCCAGCTGAGTCACACATCCTTGAAAACCCAACCTGCCACATGGGGGGCTTTTCACCTCAGCAGATTATCTGATAGATCTGGAGAGTTTGGGCTTTTAGGACACATTTTTTGAGCATGGGGGTCGAAGGAAACGATGGTGAAAGCTGTTTTCCCCTGTCATTGCCTTTGTAACCATGTCGCCATTGTCACCTACTGCTTAAAGTTTCAGTCACACCCAGGCATTTTTTCCCACCAGTTTGCTCAGAGTAAATTCAGCACCAATATTATTTTTTTTTTAATGCACTCATTTTTATCGACTTATTTTTGCAGGCTCAAGTTTTGTTCTGTCAGTGTGCAACAACGCAATGGCAGCACATCAGTCCATACAGTAACATACCTGACATGTTACAGCAGAGCAAATACTTCCAGCACAGCAGTTTTCCATCAGAGGAGCCTGCTGATGATAGAAGAACCAATATTGTGGTGGGAATGTATAAATTCCATCAAACTCAGGGTGGAAACCAGACGTTGGCAGCCCGCGTGCCTGGTGCCCTGCCAGCTACCAGCTGCCAATGGTGGGCAAGCTGCCTGGCTCCCCACCTGGTGGACAAGTGAGCTGCTGGCTCCTCACCTGCCAGCTTGGGGCAAAAAACATTATCCATGAAAAATTCAGCATTTCTAAACTTTTCTCCTATTGTTAACATTCCAGACTGAATCAGCACGAGCGATTTTCAGCTGAGAAGCAATTGCGGATGCCTCGATGCGGTCACACCTTCTTCCATGCACACGTGTTCTTCAGTAGAAACAGGAACTAATTGCCACATTCAATTCACTGACACTCACCGTTACTCCTTCCAACCCAAATATCTGGACAGCTTTGGAAAGAAAAGAAGGAAGAAAATGTATGTCCCGAAGTTTGGTTTGCTCCCTATTTCAACATGCCATTCTCCCCAGTTCCTTTGCTCGTCATGAAGGCTAGTATTCTTCAACAAACAGAAGTTTATCTCAGGGTTATTTATGAATAAACCCCTGGATTTTAAACTCCTTGTATTTGTTAAGTTCCAAAAGATGTCATCTTCTTAGCTTGTCTGTATGTATATAGCAGCTATCTGCTTGCATGCCCACACTCCCTTCTTCACAGGGATGAGGGCTGACTTCAGCACTACCTTCAGCTTTATTTTTCCCTCTGCTGGGACAAACGTTACCCACATCATCCTTGTAAAACACCTCCTCTGATCTCCCAGTGAGCAAGTTGATGTTTTGCTCTGGTGTGAGCCTACAGTGCACACCCTACAGTAGTTCTGTCATGCTCCTTTGCATGGCTCACGACCTTCATGCGGATGTTTCCCCCTCAGCAGCTGTCAATGACATCCAAGAAAGCCTCCAGGAAGGCCTCCAAGAAGGTCTGCAGGGCTGTGTCCAAGAGATACCTTCAATGGTTGCACCATGAGTTGGCCAAGCTCTGCTCCACGTTGAGTTGTCCACCTCTGAGAGGTGACCCAGAGGTCTCAGGTCCTTTAGAGGTGCCTCTTCCTCCCTTATGCAGAGGACACCCCAAGTGTCTGCTCCTATTCCCCATGTTTCAGCAGTGCTGCAGTCAATTGTGGCCACCGTGTGAAGACACACTGAGCCTCACAGGTGCCTTGCATGCAAGCTCAAGGCAGCAAGTCTGTACTGTGATTTTCAGCAATAATATTCTTTCTTGTCATTCTTTTTCCTAAACTGAGCTTTCGCAGCTTTGCAATTAGAGCAGCTGTGCTTTAAAGTTAAGTGGGAATGATGGAATTGTTGCTGGCTATCAGAGCTTCTGAGGAACAGCCTGGTGTTTACACCTGCCCAAAAATGTGCCTGGCTTTTATCAAAAACCAAGAGCTTTGTCAATGTCGAAATATCAAACTTGGAGAAAGTCTGAAGGATTGGTCAGTTAGCGAATGATTAAATTTTCTGTCTTGGCTAATGAACTGAATCCAAGGCCAGCTGAGTGGCTGTGCCTACAGTGGCCTGTGCTGCTGCCTGTCGCTGGAGATCCTGCTGCAGGCTGTCCTGGAAATGGCAGCAGCTGGTGGGAAGCTGTTCTGGGAGCAGTGGCTTTCACTGTGGCACTGTGCCTGAGCGTCTCGCTGCTTGGCTGGGCCTGCAGGTGGGCTCCTGGAACAAGGCTGTGTGGAGCAACCTGTGATGGTGCCCAGGGGAAGTGCTAAATATGGGGGGAGGTACATCAGGATCTTGGGGCTTGCTCAGCTGAATGTCTTTTGGGAACAGTTTGTTTTTAATGATACCTTTTCCCATTTTGAGAGTGTTTGCCTAGTCTTCCTGGGAGCGTTGCCTTAATAGTTAAGGTAGAAATGCTTCAAGGCACAGTAGGACCCGAGGAGGAAAGGACAGCAGATACGATGTTGTTGTGGTAGCCCACCATCATCCCGTGTCTCCCCAGTGTGTGTTCTGAGGTGCTCAGCTGCCAGGAACTTCTGGTAAGGGCATGGGATAGCTGTGGAAAAATGTGGAAGCATATGGGATCAATAAAAAGTAAGTAAAAGGGAGAGTGTTGTGTGTGCCACTGCAGGAATTTGGGTTTTTTGACTGTGGGGTGGTTTACTGGGCACCTGCCCTGATGGCTGCTGATGAAATCCCCCTGGGTCATAGGGAGAAAAGAATTCTCCAGTCCCTGAGCTGTCTGGGCTCATTGACAGGGCTTTAAGCTAGGTTTGAAGGGGGAAAAGGATGATAGCGAGCCTGCTGACTACAAGGTGTGGGGTAGTATAGCCAAGTCAGAGGGACAGGATGCTAGTGGAGGCCCTCAGCCTGCTGCATCTTACGGGGAATATACTAGGCAGCAAGCTGTCAGGGCTCATCTCCAGGGCTTTAAACTAGATTTGATGGGCAAAGGGGATGTACTGCTGAGGAAGAGAGAAGAGCCAGGGAACTCTCTTGCTTTAGGAAGCAGTGAGGGAAAACCTCAAATTTGTTCCAGACATTTTTGGGAGGGCTCCTCCAAGGAGGCAATGCAACCCAGCTGATGTGCCTCTATACTGATACACACAGCAAAAGAAGTAAGTAGGAGGGGATGGAAACTGTGGTGCAATTGGAAAAGTATGACCTTATTGCTATCACAGAAATGCACTGGGATGACTCACATAACTGGAATACCATTACTGAGGGCTATGAGCTCTTTAGAAGGGATAAGCAAGGTAGGAGGGGTTGAGGTGTTGCCCTCTTATGTGAAGAAGTGGATAGACTGTGAAGAGCTCTCTGAGAAACAGTCATGAACAGGTTGAGAGCTTGTGGTTTAAAATTAGGGGCCAGACCAATACAGCACACCTGGTGGTCAGCGTCTATCACAGGTCATCTGATAAAGGGAAGCCTGTTAAGGCTTTCTTGCTATAGCTGCAAGAGGCATCATGTTTGCAGGCTGTCATCCTGGTGGGGGGCAATTTCAACCACGTGGACATCTGCTGGGAAAACAGCATGGTGACGTGCAAGCAATCCAGGGGACTCCTGGAGTCCATTGACGATAACTTTCTAGTTCAGTTACAGGATAGACCCACAAGAAATGAAGTGTTGCTGGACCTGGTGCTCACCAACATGGAAGAGACCATAGAAGAGGTTAAGATCAGAGGCAGCCTGGGCTGGAGCAGCCACACTCTGGTCATGTTCATGATCTAAAGGAATGTGGGCCTAGCAAAGACTGGAATCAGGACCCTAAAATTCAGGAGAGCAAACTTCAGGCTGTCTGAAGTATTGTTGGATGAGATCCCCTGGGAAACCGTCCCTAGGGACAGAGGGGAGAGGAGATTTCCATCCCTCAGAATAAGAAAGGAGGCAGAGAAAGCAGGAAACCAGCATGACTGAGCAAGAACCTGCTGTTCAGGCTGAGGGGAAAAAAGGAAAGGCATAAGCAGTGGAAGGGGGGGTGGGTGGCCTCGGAAGAATATAGGGATGCTGTCCAGATGTACAGGAATGGGATCAAGAAAGCCAAGGTGCAGATGGAATTGAACTTGGCAAGGGATGTGAAAAACAACAAAAAGGATTTTTGTAGATGCACTTGGCAGAAGAGACTGGGAAATGAGGGCATACCTCTGAAAAGAGGGAGCTGGCCTCCTCAGACGTACAGATGGCTGAGGTACTTAATGAGACACTTGCCTCAGTGTTCATGGATAGTTAGACTTCCCACATTTCTTGTGTCCTGGAAATTTTAAGCAGGGGTCAGGGGAGCAAAATCACTCCCAGT